AAAGGGGAGCCCACTGTATGGGAGAACATATTTGTCAATGATACATGTAATAAAAGGTTAATTTCCAAAATATATAAGGAACTCATACAACTTTAGAAAAGGAAGTAGGATGGCGGCGTAGGTAACAGCTGAACCCACTGCCTCCCGCAAACACATCAAAATCACAACCAAAACACGGAACAACCATCACTCAGAGCCTCCTGAAATGTGGCTGAACAGAAGCCCTACAACCAGGGAACTGAAAGAGCATGGAGAGCAATAGGAGGGGCAGAGACGCAGGCGGATCTGGGCTGAATCGCGGAGATGCGGTCGCGGGCCCACACCTGGTGCCACAGTTGAAACCTGGGAGGGACATCTCGGAGGTGGGGGTCTTCCGGAGGAGTGAGGGGTCCCAGCCCCACAGCAGGCCCCAGCCCAGGGCTCCAGGACTGTGAAGAGATGTTCCCACAACTCCGGACTGTGAAACCAGCGGGGACTGTCCCTGAGGGTCGCAGAGGCTGTGGAAGCCCCAGGCAGCTCCTCTTAAAGGGTGGGCGCATGGAATCACTCAGACAAGCTCCGTCTGAGCCCCAGCGCCGGGAACCAGCTTGAAAGAAACCTGGGACACTTGGGAAGAAATTAACCTGCCTGAAATCCAGGAGAGAGGTGGAAGGGTAGCTTTCTCCCAGGCAGAAGAGCTGGCAGAGGCCATTGCTCTTTTGGCGAGTCCTCTCCACAAACAGCCGGCAGGCAGGTGCCATATTTGAATCACCAGCACCTGACCCACACCTTTGGAACCGCCCTGGTGATTCCTGGGGGCCCCGCCCCTCCCTACTTGCAGGATCATTTCCAGTGGCTTTTCTGTAAACGTGGCCTCTCAAGTCTCATGCTTAGGACTTTCCTAAAAGTGTGCCCCACACGGCTTCATAAGTGGCCCTAGGCCTGATACTGGCAGCAGCCTGCATTGGCTCACAGCTTGGCCTCTCCTGGACACCTCCAAGCCCAGCACAAGTAGCAGCCAACTACGGTTTGCTGTGCAGCTCATGATGGGTGGCCCTGGGCAAGGCACTGGCAGAGGCTGACTTTGCACCTCACTGGAGCCCACAGAGACAGTGCACTGGGTGGTCAGACTCGACCATGCTGGACGACAACCCTACCACATCCACGAGTGACACACTCAAGGGGCGCACTTGGTGAACACCAAAGCTCCACTGAAGAAAATCCTGCTCCACAGGGGCGTCTGCACCACAGCAGCTCTCTGGCTGTATTTACAGCTGGTCCTCACAGCTGATTGGCCTGGAGGTCAATTCCTCCCAGTGACACCAACAGCAACCAAGGCTCAACTACAACAGGACAGTGCACACAGCCCACACAGGGGAGCACCTAGAAGGCCCAACTCAG